GCAAAAAATGAGAAATTTGGATTTACATGGCTTTTATTAGACATATCATTTTGTCTCGGGGTGTACACCGGTACACATAATACTAGGAATTCCTTTACTTTATTGGAAAACTGTTTAAAAAAATACTGTACTGTAAAAAATGCTTTTATTTTTAAATGGAAATACTGGGAAATGGGACTTTTTCGCAATAATATACAGTTTTTTGTCTGAAAAAAGATACGAGTGTTATGTATTCACTAGGAATGTTAATCCCGGGATCCCGGGTCTTTATGCATAGAATCCCGGGATTTTCGGGATTTGTAATTTACACTTGTGGCAGTAATAGAAACGCGTTATGTTGTCCAGTTTTGACTATATTTCCTTTTGTATATTTAATATTTTTTTTATAAATGTGTAGCTCAATATACATATAATACCTTGCAACAGGCAATTTTACACAAAAAAAAAACAATATATTCGCGAAACCAAGGGCCAAATACAGTCTCTGACGTCAGAGTTTTTTAAAAGAACCTTGGAACTTAAAGATATGAGTAATTCAAAAAATGATTTAATAAATTCAGTGCAATGTACTTAAAAAACCAGTATGGGTATCCAATTAAAGAAAAGATTCTGTAAAGTTAAAACAGATTAAATTTTTTGGTGCGTAAGGGAATAGTTGGTATTTAAAAGGCCCTTTTATAATTTTATCCATGAACGTCCTTGAAATTTTGCAATTCTTATTTAAAAGAATTATATGTTAATAGATTAAAGGGGCACTCCTATTCGTCCTTGTGAACCCAAAAAGTTCTACAGAAATGTTTCTTTCATTTAGCACCCATATTTTTGTTTTACATTGCACTACATTTTTTAAATAAGTTTTGGAATTAATCATATCTTTGAAATTATAAAGTATTTAAAAAAAATCATGACGTCAGAGAAACTCGCCATTTAAATGCATTTAATTTTATGTAGTATGAGGTATACTTGTACAAAACAACTTCTTTCAAACAGAAAATAAATTATTTGACTTAATTTTTTTTGCATCAAGCTTTTTTCGACATACCTTAAGTTACTTTATCATATATGTACATGCTGAGGTATTATTAAATGCATATATATTTAATTACTGTCTTTCGTTTTGTTACTTATGAAATAATTTTCACTTTAAATAAACAAGTACGTTCCAAGCCCATTTACTTATTATTTATTATATGATAGGAGAGCTTGCCAAACCATATTGATGGCATTTTTTCGATTTAAGTTGTTGAAAAATAATAAAGATCTAAATCCCGGGACTGATCCCGGGATTGAACCAACGACATCCCGAAAATCCCCGGATTATAAAAATCTAAAAAAGTAACATCCCTTGTATGCAACTTACATCAGTGACGTTCGGAAGAGTCTCAAATATTACTCGAAACTGAACTTATTATACATATCGTCGTTTAAAGTACAAAACCGCGAATCGTCGTTCTGCAAAACCGCGTAACTGTCATTTTCTGCCAAAAATTGTATTTGCTCACACAAGCTCTTGGCTCAATCCTTGTCCATTCGTCCTGAAATATATTAGCCAGAGATGCGTTTGCATTATAAAAAAGATAACAATTTTGAAAAATGGGTGTTTTTACTCTCTAGAAAACAATATATGCAACCTCACATACGCGGTTTTGCATTATATTGATACGCGGTTTTGTATATTGTTGATACACGCTTTTGTACTTTAAACGACGATATATATATGCTTATTACATGGGTAGAAGATGGGCAAATCTTCTTTCTCCCAACTATTGATGTAGGCCAGTGATTCCCAAAGTGGTGTAGGTGGACCACCTAGGGTTCACGGGAGACTTGACGGAGGTCTACGTTGGCGTGAAAAAATATGGGGGTCCATGAGTCCACGAAAATTTATCTGGTTTCGACAGTAAAGAACCAAGATGGTTGCTTGATAGCCTCTGTATTTAACTTTAATTTTTTGAGTGGTGTATGATGCTCTTGACGCACTGCTGCACTTACCGTCGCTTTGTGTTTTCATACGTGGGAAAGCCTTTAAGGCCAGGTGCAGGCTAAAAAGAACGAGATGTTGGCGTAACACTGAGTGGGGCGCGACGGAAATTGCTAGCGGCAGAGATTTAAGCACTTGTGTATTTTCAATGCTACGGGATAGTACGCCACCATTACCTTTGTTAAAGAGATTCTATAATGCTGAGTTTCCTGAGACTGAGTGCCGGTTTAATTCCATCACTGACTCACACATTTTCGAATCTTCACTGATGACTCCAAAACTGACTCTGGGTCATGATCTGGGGTCGAAGTTAATGAGGATAAGCTTCACTTCTCTGTTGGGGAATGTGCTTCGGTCTTCCAGGCTGAGGTAATTGCAATCCTCAAATCCATGGACTACGTGGTGGAACATAGGTGGAGGGGAAGGAGTTTACGTGTCTTCAGTGATAGCTAAGCTGCACTTAAGGCATTGGCCAGCCCTCGAAACTAGTTCGGCAATGCAAGTCTCGACTAAATTGTGGTGGTAAACATAACGAGCTTGGTTTACTGTGGCTGCCAGGTCACTCAGGAGTACCTGGTAAAGAGACATCTGACCATTTGGACAGAATTGGCAGAGACCAGGCATTCCCCGATCTGCAACCAGTTTCAGCACACCCACTTTAGGCCATCGAAGCAACTATCAGAAACTGGGTGAATAGCAATGACTGGGAGGCATCGAGCGGATGCAGGCAAAACTCATGTTGCCTTCAATCTCAGAATGTCTGTCTAGTGTTTTGCTCTCACTGAGCAGACGACACTGCATGCAACTTGTTGGACTGCTGACTTGTTCACGTGGCACAAACACCTGACTGTGATAGGCGTAAATGACAAATCCATTGGCCCATCCTGCCTAGAAGAGGATGAGACGGTGGAACACTTTTTGTGTTTCTTGCTTGCTTGGTTGTTTGCATCGAATTTTCTAGACTCGTTATTTTCTCTTAAACAGTTTTGTTGTTTTAAGTTTTGTGTTTTTAAACCACGGAGCAATAAAAATAAAAATGATGCTGTCAACACAAATAAACTAGTTTACAAATACTCCACGTACAAAGTCATGAATGAGCCGAACAATTGATGAGTTTATGGTGAACATAATGTAAATAACGCTAGGGCTCGAAGTGCTCTTGAAAAATATAACTTCTCAGAGCGAGAAAGTATTTCGATAGATTTACGACCTCTATTTTTTAAAACCTGCAAGTGTGTAATCACATTATTTTAATAAATAGAAATAAAAAATAATAGAAAGAAAATATTTTAGTTTTATTTTGGCCACTCCGAGTTTAGTTTTTGAATTCACCCGCGATGAAAACTTACATAGAGTTAGATTTAATCTTCACACCTCATGTTGATACGAGCTTTGGGAATATTTAGAAATGTATCAGCAGGGGGCCACCGAAACCAGTAAATTTTTCAAAGGGGTCTTCGAGAAAAAAAGTTTGGGAACCTCTGATGTAGACACTTATTTATGACAGGAGCTGCTAACTCACTGAAACTCAAGCTTGGAATTGTCAAGCTTGTCGTTTTTTGGAATCAAAGGTTGTTAAGTAGTCTGCGTTCTGCATCTTCAAATTACTACTTCGGATTTAAATACAAGAAAACATAGACGGTATTACTTCTAATGCTGCACAGCGGCTGCTGTTGTGTAGTGGTAAGAAGTGGGCGCTTCAACTCCGCAGGACTTGGGTTCAATCCCTCGACAAAGCAACATCGCAAAAAAATTTAAAAAAAAGGGCAGGCAATGGCAAGCCTCCGAGTGTATTTCTGCCATCATAAACAGCTTCTCATGAAAATACCATGGCCGTTCGGAGTCGGCGTAAAATTGTAGGTCCCTCCCCTTTGTGTGACAACATCAAGGCGCACGCCACAAATCGGAGGAGAAGCTCAGCCAAACACTAATATATTTAAGCGCCAATCTATTATTATTACTTTTAATATAATTGATGGATTCACCTCAAGCAGCACACTGGTGTATAACTTGGTGTAAATTTACGAATTTTGGTATAAATCTGATTAATTGTACCAAAATTCACAAATTTACACCAAGTTATACACCAGCGTGCTACTTGAGACCATTGTGTCGTAAGTGTCATATTGTTGTATGTCGTAAACTTTAAAAGCTTAAATAAATGTTTAGAGAACTTGGAACCAAGAGCAACTATTTTTTAACACTTAATATATTTTTTAGTTTACGACATAAAAAAATACGACACTTACGACACCCTAAATTTGCAGGCTTCATAGTTATTGCAATCACAGTTTTGTAAAATAAAACTTTTCCTCTTTAAGACAAGCTTAGTATTATTGCTATTGTTTGGGTCATTTCGTTTGTAACAATATGTTTTCGACAGTATAATCACGAATACAACAATAGTGTTTTTTTTTTGTTAATTCCTTAAACATATGGGCCCATAGTTATAGTCGTAAGTTAAAACTCATTCTTGCCAATATAAAGTTTCAGTTTAGAATAGATCTTTAAGTTGTGTCAATCATAGACATCTTAGAAAAAGCGTTTTGTTAAGATGAGAGAGAACAGAGCTATCCATATGAAGACAGAAAAATTTTCTCGGCAATATAATGAAATATGAGTACTTTAATTAGTTCACCCTGTGTCCGCTGCAGGATTGCGAATTTCGCATGCCGGGAAGCCGTGGGCTCGAATCCCACTGCCAGGAAACACTTTTTTACGTCTTTTTTTGTTGTTTTAAATATAATTTTAATTTTTTTATGTAATTATAGTTGTTGGGACCATTTTAATTAAAATTTAACTCCAAAAACTTTGATTAGCTGGAAATAATTATGTGAAATATCATAAACAAAAAAAGATAACGAAATAAAAGTGGGATTCATGAAACGTGCAAATGTTGTAAAATTCGCCACCTTATAATACAGCTGATTACTTTTGTGTGGAAACTCTTCTGCGACAAAATTGCGACATCGCCATAATATTTGAGCTGGCAATCATTGCAAACACAAAGTCGCAAAACACATTATATTTTATTGCCCTCAAATACTTCAAGAAAAAGTATATTAGTTAAGGCTGCTTCGAAATATAATTGTAAAAACTTTTATTTTTCACTTACGCTCGCCATTTTTAGAAAATTTTACTTTTGTAATCCGGAGTAGCGATAGGTCGTTCATACAACTTTGTTTGCAACGTTGCCAATTCGCCAAAAATGCCACTTTGCGACGTTTTATGAATCGCACTAAGATAAAAAAATGTTTGTATAAAAAAAAAATTGTATGAAAAAACATTGTTTGGAATCGCTCGGAATGGGGACCGAACCTGGGTGCTACTGCGATTACTAAAGTAAAACAAATTTAGAATCGTATTTTACCATTTTAAAATCACGTTCTCCTTATTTTTAAGTTAAAATTCTGTTTTTACCATAAATGCATTTTACGTTGACTATGAAAGAGTTAAAATGGTGATTACTATAAAACACAATTTGAATCGTAAAATCCTTTTTCGAACTTCTCTATGACTACGGGCCATAGTGTTTTAATAAACTTACGGGATGAACGTCAATGAAAAATTTATGTTTCTCCTTATCGGCTGGAGTAATCCCTTCCACTGCATTCAGAAAGCTTTCATCTCCCAAATAAAAATGAGGAAAACTTAGCATAATGGGTGAATCTAAAAAATATATAAAACTTTAAATTTGTATGTAAACACAAATATATATGTAGGTCGTGTTTACCGTATTGACAAAGTGAAACATTGAACAATCCATTGGGAGAACATGAAGGCTGACCTGCTGGACAGAAGCACATATTTTCCGGATTGCTTTCAACGTCAGAGAACACATTTTCTGGTGGCGTAAACCTATAACCCATAACATTTTCTTTGACTTGAACTTCCTTTTCAAATGCGAGTGGCAAAAGTCTGCATAGATCTTTATCGTATACGAAAAGAATGCGATTTTTATCAATATGTGGTGGAAATATTGAACCATCTGTTCCATTTAATCTGTTGCAGTCATCATTCAACCAATGAGGCAGATGTGATCTTCCATTGTATTTATCGATTATACCGTACTGAGTAATGTCATCTACACCTGTGAATATGGTTATGCGATCCTAGAAAGAAAAACGTAATTATCAAACATAAAGAAGCCTTGGAATATTATTAGATTGTAGTAAAAATATGTATACCATATACATACATATGTATGTATGTATTGTGTAATCCTATACCACGGACAAGAATACCACTTACTTTTTTTGTGTACGAAAATATGTTTAAGCTATACATTTAATTATTGTAATACTTTAAAAATACACATTGGTGATATCCTAGTTAATAAAAAGGTTTCCCGAGGTTTTTTAAACCATGTATTTTATCTGATTGGAACATACCTAGGGCTGCCAGATATCTCCGTTGTCAAACCGGGACACTTTGGTAAATCTAAACCAACAACACCAACCCCCTCCTTT